TGGCTTACTTCTAGATCCTCTGAATAAAAGAAAACAACGGTTATCTATCAGAACCGTTCTTTTTCACTATTCGTTTCAAGATTCGAATACTTATCGTCCTATGAGTGTGATTTTAATGTTCTTCACTGTCACAGACTCAACAGCCGGCTTCTCTAAGTGCTCGGTGAATCACCCATTCAGAAGAATTCCGGCAATGACGATCTCTCATTAGACCCGTAGCAAAGCAGGCAGATTGTATCATTCATCGTCCGATATGCATTCGAAAGCTGAATTGTAAACTAATCACTCTTCAGCCAAAAAACCGCATCTGGAATCGCTCAGTGCACTCCGTGTATGTATATGTATGTACGTATGTGTGCATATATGCATACATATATATATATATATGTTCGATGGGGAATTCCGTGTTTCTGCTCACTCACAATCATGTTCCACTTATTTTTGTTCCGTCTCATGTCTATCTCCGGGCAAAAAAATTGCGTGAAACTGCCATCCCTACAACAATCTTTTTTTCCTTTAAAAACAGCAGCAAGATGAATGGGAGGGTTATTCGTTGGCAGTAGTCAGAGTAACTGTTATAATTGTCCCTATTTATCACGCCTCCTGTTCGGCATTCATGTACCAGGTTACATGAGCCAGAATGTCAGTTTTTCCCTCTATTTTGGCAGTAAGACATTCTATCGAAAAACACGCACATATGTCCCGGTGCTTTTTCTCTCTCTACAACCACCGTCCCACTGTCCCATTTTCAGATGCTAGAAGATCGATTCAACCCGGACTTGTTGGCCAACATTCTCCGCATTCCTTCCAACAAAACACTAGTACGGCGGCATTTGTCCAGTAAATTTGTTGAGTTGGTTGGCAACGAGGTGTGGGAGAGGAAGCAGGCGGTTTCAAGTAATCCAGACATTCCCGCACTCACCCAACACTCGAAGATCAAGGTATGCACATATTCCTAAAAAAAACTGCAAATTTAATATGTTACTTGAGAACTGCCATTCACTTACACTGCTGTTCGGCCACTTGGTCATTCATGAGACCAAATATTTGCTTCCCCGGTAGGCGATATGCTAGTAAAAAACACACGAATCCTGAGGGACCATGTACTGTTAGATGCACACATAGGTGGATTGCACGACTCTACGTGAATTCAAACTTATGTCAGTAGGTGTGCGTCCCGGTGATGTCCTCTGGCGACCCGTCATGAAGGATGAAAAAACACACCCACTGTACGCTTCATTTCATCGTTCCAGATTAAGTCGTCGTGTGATTTCACGTTGTGCCTCCTCTATGAGATTTTTCATTCAGGTTCACATCGCGGCAAGTTACCACCATGTAGGTCATCAATTATCCATGTGCTCTGCTAAAAATAAATTTCGGGATCTTTGATACCACCAGCCATGGTACAATCCTTGTTCGGCTAGCCAGGCATCTTAGATGACAGCGTCGTTTTAGTGATTCGGTGGAACTCAAAAGGCTTGATTCAATGCTTATTACCACAAATCCATCGTCTCGAGGCTCTATTGTTTCCATATGGAAAACCATATCGCAAGGTGCCTTTTAACTTCGTATCTACTGACAAGGAGCTTGCAGGTGTGTACCATAAAGTCTGAGACAGACTGAGCTCTCAGGTTTACGTACTGATTAGTAAAAACTCAGTAGTATCGACATATTTGATTAGTGGAATTCATGTGGATACTGCGGCTGGTCTGTAACTCTGTTCAACAACCTAGGAAATTTCAATATGTATCAATAGCTTTTTGGATGCATAGACATTAGTTTTGATGAATACAGTGTTTCCCAGCCTGTTTTCCCAGGGAAATCATTACACAATCTACTCATGAGTAGGAAAGAGAAACAATTCAACTATCGTTGTTGCCTTCAACTTAATTCGTTCCTTCACTTCACAACCAAATTTATCTTACAAACTGGGTGACGCGTTTGATCGAAATACGATAGGCAAGAGAGCACAACCAAGACAAGCGCAACCCCTTAAAAACGGCTTACACTTAACTACTATGTTTATTGTGCTGAGGGTAATTCATGATTTCTCGTTAAAAAATCTCATCCAGACGTCAAATTTCCATCGATGACAACTTTACGCTGTCTTGATTTGTCACATTTTCTACGAAATTGCAATCTACGGCGAAATGCGGAAGGTTAAAATTTATGGATTTCAAACTATTTACAATTCCGAACCACCCCAATCAAGAGGAAACACCGACAGTTTGTTCTGCTCTAATTACTTTGCCATATACATATTAAATAACTACTATTGATTCATAAAGGAACGACACGAAGCTGCATAAATGCAAATGTGTTGAAGCTTGGCTTAAGCATCCTCATATCGAGTGCTGAAAACATCGGACCAGTTGATTCCCGGTTCCAAGGCGAACGAATCAGGACGCCTAATGTTTAATGAGTTGATCCTCTCGACTACTTGCAGACCAATCGCAATCAGTCAAAACTCAGGTCACTCTTGACCGAGAAGTCACAAAGAGTGCAGTCATATACAGGGGATCCTGAATCAACCGCATATATCGCGGTTGAGCGTTTTCTGAGGCAGCCTTGAGCCTCATACTAGACACCAGAAAGCGTCTAGCACCCAAAACCAGATTTGATAGACCCTAATGATCGGTGATTTTTTTCGGACAAGTTTGGATGTTGCAAGTTTTTCGAATTTCGATATCAAAACGTATCAAGCAGCTTTTTTAAAGACCAACTCAATCGAACGCATTCTTAGGCCTGAAACGGCTCACGCGAGAAAACTTGTGATTTTTTTGCTTCAGGATTTACTACAGCCTAATTGCCTACCTCACATTTATTTTTCACAGCTTTCCCGGAAACGTACCTTCTTTATGTCACACCGGAAACGAAAAGGTATGGAATATGAGGAGGAACTTTTATGCCCGGTCGACATCGACTCACCGATGACCGATCTGCAGGTAAGACATGTTTTTAATGAAGCCTGCGTAGTAGTTATGGAATATGCTCGCACCTACATTGTGACTTCAAGACATCAAGTGATGTAAAACCAGCGACAAAATTACAAGTCCCTCGCCTTTCGGGGTAACTTAAAATTAGTCGGCAGACGTCTTCAGTTTGGTGGGAGCGATAAACGTGATTAAATCTCGTTGTAGAAAATAAGGCTTCCAGAGCCTTGAAGAAGATAGCCAAGCATGTGACACAGAAACCTAGTCTACCAAATTATTCACATGCCACCACTCAATATTCATTCGTTCTGACCATCAATGCAACAAGAGATTCAGAGTCAAGCATTCATAGATCAGCTCCTCCTACGGTCACCTATGTTGGCCTTGTTTTACCGGCTAACGTTACTCAGGCAGCTAATTGAGTTCATCGTAACGATAGATCTGATATATATGTTGAACTATTGATCCTTTTGTTTTATCGGTTTACCTTGTTACATCAGAGCAATGATTACTCACAAGGTTGCATTATCTTCATCCATCCTAATGGTGATTCTGCTTCTCTCTAAGCAAAGAACGGTCGTGACAGAACTGATTCATCCGGGTGGCATAACCACGCGGACCATCGAAGTTGAACTGATCAGTAACCTACTGCCAAGTACTGAGATGCTTCAAAAATGTATGTAATTTATATTAATTCTGGTGATAGCATGCAAAAACAATCCGAAAACGCCAAAAGACATTTCTTATAAACACAGGATTTAGCCACTGTGAAACAGGTTCAATGCTGTTCATTAAGTCGACCATAAATCTGGACAGACCACTACAGGTTTCGCATTTCTCCGGAAGTTAATCAGGCTGACCTAGTCTCCCAGCTTCCTTCATCCCTATTTCTCACTTGAAGATCCGACTGTATGAACCTGGTGATGATCAAACATTTGCAGATTAACTTAGCTTTGACGATAAACTGAGCTGAATTCCATCTGTGCCTCTGGTCTTTAACATTCTTCAGCTAAATATTCCGTACATAGAACGCCCCATTTTTTCAGTTGTGATAGTGTTTAATATAAGGTGGGCAAAAACTATGAATAGCCGAGTTAATTTGTAAACCGGTGTCTGTCACAAAGCCCCAGGGTAAAACGAGGCAAACTCGTGTGACTTGGAATTACCATAGGAGTCATACCATCTTCGCTGACGACCCGATGGTTGGCACGATGCGTGCACTCATTGCGGGCATGACGCCTGTGTAGCAGAAACCACCTTCAGTCAAACAGCGACGGACTCCGTCTTTTCAGCCCACACAATGGATGAATTAGTAATGTCAGCTTAAATCTTACAGCCCGATGCGTAGTCTCAGGCACTGGATCAGTTCTACTTGTTGCTAGTTGTCACCAGCAAACAGTAGATAATAGTTCAATATGACAGCGAAGCTAAGACTAGCACCTTCCTGAAGGACAGTTGGCCCCAGCTTGTAGTACAGCTTTTGACCCCTTTGGAATTTTATCCCAGGAATCACCGCTTTGCGACTAATGCGGTAGTGCCGGGAAGAGGGAGGAACATCTGCGAATTCAAACGTTTATTAACTACATAGCTGATGGGTCCTTCACTTCAAGGTAGATAATTCAAGCAAAAGCTTTTGGGTTGGAATTCCCTTCCAATATCTCTGAGGCGCTCACTGCTCGTACTTCTCCGTAAAGAGGGAGCTTTAACTTGTCGGGAGGTTAATACATGTTCGAACTGTATAAATGGCTGGCAAATTGATCAAAGAGCTGAGTAGTTCGTCTGCTAACGTCTTATAACCAGTCACGTTGATGTAACCACTGCGTCGTTGCATGGAAAAACAAGGCGTTGCGTCTCAATAAGATGCACACAAATAGTATAAACAGCTACCACCACAACCACACCGTAAACCTCAGAAAGATTATCATCCAGAATTTATTCAGAAGAGCTCGCACGTAGCAGCATTTCAGAATTGTGGAACAAGGAGTCAGGGTATCCATCACGAATATTCCAAGAAACTCGAAGAGGGAGACAACTTAGTCCGAACCTGAGATAAGAGGCAGAATCTTGGTAGACCAAATCTCAAGCACCAAATTGAGGAAACCAGCTTTAAAACCGACAAACGGGACTGATAAATGCAAAAGGAATAACCAACTCCATCAACCGTGACAAATTTCACTTCGGCTAGAATGGGACAAAACTCTGTACGCAAATAAAAGTATGCTGTGGACATCGGAAGACACGTCCCAGTATTTCTGCTCCACAAATCCAGAAGGTCGCCAACGTAATTTGGAAAGCTTCGCAAAATACTCTCATTTACACAGGAATTTGGCTTTTACTGGAGACTATGTTGAATCTAGCTGAATTTCTTGTCTATGATGGTCCGCTTCAACTGAATGTACTGCAACAAGCTGCTTTAGGTCTCGTTTGGTACGATATACCAGATATCGCAGTATGTTGTTGTCTAGACTCTACACACTCTTATTAAGCCAAGTATCATAAAAGGGATTCTGCTGTATTCACATGCGAATAAAGTAACTGTCGAAATACGTTCGATTTGAGTCCAAGTAGGGCATAAGTTCGACGGAACCTCGGGGGCTTGGCCTACTTGATAAGCCCCAAAAAGGGCAATACCGGTCGTGTACTGCCGAAGAGTTTTCAGCGGCCTTAGAGCAGTATGTTGCGTCCAATTTGAAGGGTTTTATACTGCTACTGCTGTACTGTTATACCGTTACGATAGAAGCAGAAGAAATCTTGAGCGTACCTCGTTCCATGACGCACAAACGGTGTATCATACCCGACTGAGTCTGCGTAAAACTGCATGAAAAGAATAGGAGGCTCATAGGACAGAAAGAAATAATTGAACCAAGAGATAGATGGAAAACGTCCGTACTCAAGTCGGTGTGGGTCACAGCGTGGAACATAACCGCATCAAAGTCACAGACCACTTCAACGATGGATAGGGGATGAGTAAACAAGCAAGCATCAACAAATCAGAACACAAGTCAACCACACAAGTCATAGTTGAAGTCCGTCCCTTAGGCCTACGGGCACACGCATATAACAAATACTCACTAACCCACAGCACAACTTCGTTACACAACGATGCACTGATAAAGTCACCTCGATAGATTGGCAAACGCTTACGATACGAAGTTCCCATCTCAGTGAAACAATAGTGGTCTACAGTGATGAGTACAAACTCTACCCTCGTTACACGATTTGCTTCCATAATTATTGTACATCTGGCAAGTTATTTTTAAATCCTCAAGGCACTCGAGCAACAGACACCATTATCTTAGCACTCAGGTAAAAGAGACTGACTCTGAAATGGAGAAACACTGAAGTGCAAAGTTTTCTGCTTACTCTCATACTCTTTCAATCCAAGTCATTTAGTTCCAATAGTACGAGATCAAGACACATTTACTTCTATGTAGTAAGGAATGTATCCAGAGAGAAGTGACGGTGAAAAGGTCATTTATCTATGGCAATCCATGTTCTGGAAAAAATTTCTCAGCCTAATCGGTGGCCACCTCTCTTGTCCTCAAAGTGAGCACATTTTAACAAACTTGATTCCTCAACCTCTAGAATATCTGTCGATCTGGCAGCCTAATAATGACTCCGTAATGACATCACAACGGATGAAGTGTATTCGAAGTAGATTGTTCAGATAATTCTTAGTTGCGTAAATTAAAATTTTACATTCGCATTAGACTATCTGACACCGTTCTTCTGATTGTATGCCTTCCTTATCCGCTTACCGCAACATTTACTGCCTTAAATTAGCACAGATGGATCCCTGCGGACTAAACTTGTCGAAATAATGGGACACGAGCTACTGAAGTATTGTTAAGTAGCACAAATCTACTGTAAAAACTTTTATTGCATCTGTGCTGGCTTAGGTCCTCAAACTTCCTCTGGGTTGCACAGAAATGATATACCAACCTAACTATTTTATTTCACTGATTATTCATGGTTATTGGCCGGAGAACTATACAGGCGGTCAATTTCAACTAATAAGACTCTCATCCAAAGGCTCACGCGACCTCCTGTCAGAATCCACGTTAGAAGCCCCACGAGAGTTTTGGGTATTCCGTTCAGACAGACCGATTTTCCTGGGTTTTTTTCCTGGAAAGCTAACTGAAACTAACACCTGTACTTGGAGCATTCATCCTATCGTGTGACTGCATTCGCTTGAGGAATCAAATGTCGCCGTCGATGCGCAGCGAATTTGCTCACGTTCCAAATTTTCTGAAAAGATACTACCAGTGTATTTGCGCAAAAAGATGCTAAAGCTGTAATCCTACTGCTGGCTTCAGACACCGTTGCGTTCATCACGTTTTGAACTTTTTCCCAGTCCGATGCCAAATTTCAAGCTGTATCAGAATGCACCAGTGCATTGAGTATTCACTTTTCTATTCACTATTCATCATTCCACAAGTAACCACAAATCCCTCATTTGTTTTCAGACCCAAGATACAAACTCCTCCGAACACGTGCCGTCAGAGAGCACGAGTATGCAGGTTAGCGCTATATTTGCCGAAAATTTTGAGTGTTCTTTAAATAAGTAATCGAACAAAAATTTTAGAAACCCACATATACATAACTGTTTGAGCCTTCGTCCCGCAAAACTATGTAAAACGTCACCAATCTTAAACCCAGATATGCTGTTCACTGAATTTCGAATCCTTACCAGTGTACGTTATGAAGTCGTATCAAGGACTCTATTTGATTCTCTTCATTTGTATACCACAATTTTGGTGGCACAACCCCGGAAGCACAGTTGCTTCTGTTGGTAGAGCTTTTGCCGTTTTTACTGTTCGGGATTCTTTCATTCCCAGAAATTGGGTCAAAAAGTGGAAACAAATAGATCTCAGGCTGCACTCATTCATGCATGCACTTACGAGAATCTTCAGAACGGTTTCGGACAGCCATGGCGCATATACGGGCCGATCTGGTAAATGCTTTCGGTTGGTCCCATAATAGTGAGTTCATACAGTCATGGGCAAATACAATCTTACCAATAATCCCGACCCATTACGAACATGAGAAAGAGCTGAGAGCTTGTATGACGATTGCCAAAATAGCGTTGTTTGATGTTCTCTACTTACTAGCTTGTCTGTCCACAGCATGAACACGAAAGGAATCAAATTGCTATAGTTTTTCTTACTACCAGGAACAACAAACTCTAGTTTCCTTACTCTTCTAGTCTATTCCTCAGTTTTACAAGCAATTGATACATACTAGTCCGCATTGTACGGTTTGTTCAATAACTTAGATTCTTTTTGACCGACGATAAAAAGCCGTTTTAACTCTAACCAGCCATTGTGACATAAACTGGTTTTCGCACTGTGAGGTCTCGACAGGTATGGGGACGTAAGCTTGATCTAAACGCGACATCTACTCCGAGAACATCTGCACATTCTGCGTGCCATCATAACGACAAAAAAACTCTGATTGCACTTGACAGTTTGAAGTTAATTTAGCATCTAATCCTTAACGAAGGCAGAGGAGGCGGTATATGACCCTGGTTAATTGTGCCAAGTGAACACTAAAAAAAACCGGCGCAAGCAAAAATCACTTCTTCCCTGGGGCTTATCTTATACTGTGTCGAAGCTCTCAGATCGGCAGTCAGCACGAATAAATAGAGCTATCCGAATATGCACACAAAAAAGCTCAGTATCACGTCCACCACCACTTTGTTATATGATACCTACTCATGTTGAAGTCCAGTTACTTATATACTTCCTCATTAACGTCTCGTGCAGTCTACCCGAAAGGGTACAATTCCGCTAATTCACATAGTACGTTCAGCTGGGAGTTCGTCACCCTAGAAGTGGCAGTTCACTCCTTTGAAGGATAGATGGGGCTGTGTCCTCTCTGAGTGCAAGCTAATCACACTACTTTTAACAACTCGTGACCGGCTGGTGACCGACGGTGCTCGAATCTCTCTAGAGATTTTTGGGATCTGTACTATTGATGATTCCACCAGCTGTAAAGTTCACGGTTTTTTCCACAGCTGTAAAGTTCACGGTTTTTTCATACACGATAACCTCATTTTAATGGTATCATACATTTATTCATGTATCTCTTCTTGGAGATAGATTGTAAATTTCGCCACGTTTTGTTAAGGTTGTATACTGATGTAATTATGAACAAAAATAACAGCAGTGTAAATAAACGATGCGTCCCAAGTATACTGGAAAATCTTGCTAGCAATAATCCTTGAAAACCTTAGACCTACTTGTGATTCATCTTGAAAGTTAACATGTTTAGATAGTTACCAGGATCAAGTTTGATCTAAATAGTAGCTCACTTCAGATCTGGCCTATTGTTGTCGTCCAAATTAACTGGTGAGCTGGTGAGGACCATATCTGCTTACAGGTAGTCCAACGAGTCAAAGAGCGATGCAGTCATACATCAGCCTGTGAATGTTTCAGTTAGTTTTGTCACTGCATTTGCACTGACAAATTCATGAGAATATTTGGCCCTACCTTATTACTTCTGTCCTGCCCTCCCTCCCAATTTCATTGGGCCTCATTTTCCCATCGCCTGCTTGCCTCTTCTCTGTCCCTAGCTCATGGCACTCAGGGAAACCGATTTGTAGTAATTTCGGTAGGTTATAAAGCAGTCACATCCATGTGCCCCTTTTATCTTCGTATCATGGTAACGCATCCTCATTAATTCATCTGAATCACTCTCACATCGGCTTCTACTGGTGAGAACAAATCGTTGTGGGCGTTCCTTGTTGATGTTTGTTGCTGCTGTGAGCCTGATTTGCCCTTTTAATCCGCTTTTAATTGTACGGCCCAAATCTTCACGTTCAAATTCAGTCGTCCTGTTTAACAACATCATCATCATCATCATCATCATCTCTGATGCTTCGCTGCAGCATTCTTTAGGAGCTGATTACCAATCCCTGATGAGATCAAGTCGTCCGCGGAAGGATCTCGTTTTTATTGGTTTCGGGAACTTCTCTGAACTGTTCTGCCTCCAATTATGACGAAGGTGAAACCACCACAATTCTAAAGCTGAACCCTGTAATGTCATTTGACGCTTTTGTGGGGAGTCAGGAGAGTCCAACTGAACATTTTAGACCGACTATAGAAAGCTAAAACGATAGGCTGGCAATTAAAACAGAATGAAAATTCCTCCCTGGTGAATGGGCTCCTGTAACCTTGCATTGAGATTCTTGCTGGTCTTGCTACTTAATCTATTCATTTTTAGATGACGTTACAGTCAGAGCAGCACCGCGAAGCTGCCAGATATTGGTCAGAATCGCACCGCGCGCCAGTCACGTATTTAGCACTAGATAGATTTAACTCGGTGGCAAAACTCAGGATGTTTTGAGACTGATCAAACTAGCGAAGCAGTTTGCTTTCCGATGGAATTTGTAAAGTTGATAGTAGAAAACCTGGATTGTGAAATCCCCGAAACTGCAGATGAAAATATCGAGTTAGTGGTATATTTTGATCTGAGAGAGATTGACCGTCGATACAGGGATTAAGTGATGTAGTTCTGACCTAAATTAGTTCCATCTCACCAACAGTCTTTCTTAGCCATGCAAGGCTCGCTGTACTCCTCACAAATCCATTTTTTATATCAACTATTAGCCAGTAGCAGCTGAGTTCGAGCTAATGTGATATTGGCAGAAATGTCAAAGTTACCTTCAATTACCGCTAGTGGCTAGTCTGAAGTCTATATGGCATCAGTTAATGTCACATACGGAAGATACACTATCATTCCGAATAGCCCTGACAGTAAACAAACCAACGTTCCAAAGCTCGAACGTCTAGTGAAAAACGCAGTTGTTTTATTCGTGGTTCGGTAGATTTTCTTTCTCTCCTTTTTTTACTGGTGAACTGGGTGCGAATAAGGGTTCACAAGACACTTTCCTAGATTCGTTGAGAATTAAAAGGCTCACTGATCCGGTGTGGATCTGAGGCTGCTTTTATTCCAAGTAAAAATGAACACATAAATCATCTTGTTCCTCTACAGTGGAAAACGCCATCCAAATATTTTACACTAGCTCCAGGATGTTTTGCAATTTTCTCATTCAAGCCCTCTTTTCCTCATAGAAGGCTTTCCTTTCGACGGTAACCAAAACTTTCACACTCTTACTAAAATATATACGCAGAACACTATGGATAAATATGAGATCAGTCCACTTGCTCAGTCATAAAACAAGAGGGCACCGGCTGCTGCTACTGCTCCTAGGGTTTTGTTCAGGAAAAATGTGAGAACAGGAAGGAATGGTCAGCCACAAAATGGCTCAACAGCACCCATTCAGTACAAAGCTGAATAGCTTTACTACGTAGACTGTCCTCTCAACTCCGAACCACTTGTCTTAATTAGCATAACCTGTGGAGCATGATTAGAGGATCCTTACCGGGAAAGTCTACCCTCCCATGACCCTCTAGCGTACGTAGCATCACTAATCCGATGTCTCCATGACGTTCAGACGACGGCAAATTATCATAATTTTCCGTTTGTCTGCACATATTGGCCATCTTTTTGATATGCTAGGCAGTGTTGACTGCCCTATCACTGACGTCACCCTCTAACTCAAAGGCCACAAAATCGTTCTCCTTTGGTCACTGCCTGCTATGAACACCCCTGAAAAAAAATCACCCTGTATTAATTTCATACATATTTTGTTATTGTGCTTCGCTCTGTTAACACTGAAACATCNCCCATGACCCTCTAGCGTACGTAGCATCACTAATCCGATGTCTCCATGACGTTCAGTCGACGGCAAATTATCATAATTTTCCGTTTGTCTGCACATATTGGCCATCTTTTTGATATGCTAGGCAGTGTTGACTGCCCTATCACTGACGTCACCCTCTAACTCAAAGGCCACAAAATCGTTCTCCTTTGGTCACTGCCTGCTATGAACACCGCTGAAAAAAAATCACCCTGTATTATGATTTCATACACATTTTATTGTTGTGATTCGCTCTTTTAACACTGAAACATCTTCCGATCAGAAGGATTTCCATCAGTTTCTCCCTTGACCTACGCTCTGAAACTGTATTCAAAGCTCTGTAAGGTGCTCACAACCGTCTTCGCTAGTTTTAACCCTATTAGTTTCGTTTATGTCGTTACTATTCTCTAAACTTAAAATGGTTAGTCATGTTTCTAACCGTTTGTTTACCTCGAGAGCAACTATTCATCATCTATTCATCATCAACTATTCATCATCTACGTACTCTGGTCAATCTGTTGATACGACTGCGAGTTTCAAATATGAATGAATTAACCGAATATTAACTGCTTCGACGTACAACTCTGAGCAACGAATTGTTCTGCATATCAGGCTTGCAGAAAAGCAGTCCTTCTGATCGGAGAGTGTGACTGTGCTTGTCAAACGAACTCTTTCTTCCCAAACCCTGTTCTGAATTCTCACCTATTCGGTAATCAGGGCAACCATGTTTTCATCTGTGTGACACTAACGGCTTGCACACTAATAAGTGGTGAACATCGTTTCGGTTTTTTTATTCTACCTGGAAGCATTACTGGA